AAACGGAGCTTGTGGATGTTGACAAGGTTGGGTCAAAAACTGTTTCTTCTTGCTTTTTATTTAAATCCTTATTATGTTTACTTTTTATTAATTGTCAAACAGCAGTATAATAAGCTCTGTTTACAATTCATGTATATGTTTGTCTAATTTCTTTTCCAGGCCATTGCTCATTATGAACAGGCAGCAGATTACTACAGAGGTGAAGAATCCACCAGGTAACTATTTTAAATAAGCACGGTTATCTTTTGCCTTTGGGGAAGTAAAGAATGTAAATGTGTAAAGACACTATGCTGGCTGCTCATGTGCATCTGTACTAAAATTCGCTATTACTTTCATATAGCAAGTAGCTCATGCATCAGACTGCTCGAAATACTCTGTTTCAGACTTTAGTTTTTTTCTAATATTTGGCTCTGTGTGACGTCAACAAGAGCAAACAACAAGAGCATTTTTAATCTGGTCATATTTGACACACAGCTCCATCCACCCACCCGTTCGTCAAACTGTCTGTTCAGGAGTGGCAATCCATCAAAAGGAAGTTGGTCTAAAACTGCTCATTGTAGACGATTTAAAAAAAGGACTAGTGCCCAGTATAAGATAATTAAGAATGAACTATGAATCATGTAAAGCTATTCTAATGGAGTCAAAGAATTAAAGTATGGAACTGCAAATGAGCACATGAGGTGCTATCTAAAATTTCTGATACATTAATATTATGTCTTGTTTTACAGCTGTAGCGTTACTTTTAAATTTAGGACCCTCGATTTCAGTTAATGTGTGGTCTGACATATTGCTGGATTTTTCCTTTTAAAGTTCAGCAAACAAGTGCCTTCTGAAAGTAGCAACCTATGCAGCTCAGCTGGAGCAGTACCAAAAAGCTATTGAGATCTACGAACAGGTGAGTTAATGCCACCCAGCAGCTTTTATTTCAAGGTTTTATCCCTCCGGGAGCTTCAGTTGGAGAGTAAAGATAAATTGTGCTTTTTGATTTATTTGTTTATTTTTAGGTTGGAACCCATGCAATGGACAGTACGCTCCTGAAATACAGTGCCAAGGATCACTTTTTCAAAGCTGCGCTTTGTCACTTTTGCGTAGACCATCTTAATGCAAAAGTAAGCCATTACATACAGCTCTTATCTGCTGATAATATGCAGACACTGTAATGCAAGCCTTTGATTTTAATAATCTCCCTGCCTTTTCCCAGCTTGCTGTGCAGAAGTATGAAGAAATGTTTCCCGCCTTTTCAGACTCGAGAGAGTGCAAGCTGTTGAAGGTAGGCTTTGATGTAATTTTGGGACTAAATCGCTCATCCAGACACATCCAGTAATCATGAAGACTTGGAGTGCCATTTAACATAAGAGACTGTTTTCCATCTATTTCCACTATTGTGCTTGTTTTTGTTTTCCTGTTCTCTTTCTCTCTATTAAACTCATGTTAATCACATGCGATTGACCTGGGTTTAATATACATGCTAATGTTGAAAACATAACTGGACCATAACCTTGAAATTTAATTGAAACCTATTTGGTTAAATTCAGTTTAATCTTGTTTTTAGTCATCTGGGTTGAGTAAGTAAAGTAAGCCGTGTCTGTGCTTGAAAAGTGTTTTCAAGTGGGTTGATTCTTTTTTTTTTTTTTTGTCTGTTTGTTTGTTTTTCCTTTTTCCTAAATTAGAAACTTCTAGATGCCTGGGAAGAGCAGAATGTGGATGCCTATACTGATGCAGTGAGTAAACAGTTGCTTTTTTAGCAGACTAGAGGAAGTAGCAAAAATGTAGAATTTACTTCTGTCTTTTATTTGTCGTTTTTTGTAATTCTACCTTGACACCAGTTCAGTGAAAGAGTTTGCAGACTGTAGCTTCCGTTTCCAGGTTGAAAGACATGCCACCTTGAGATGGTGGACAACAGATTGTGTAGGCTTTTCTGTTCATGATTTTGTGATCCAAATTGTTGAAATTGGATTGCATAATGAGTGGTTTGTGCATTCATTGAAGCCATTTCCCCCCAAAAATCTACTGGAGTCCAGCAGTAATATTATAGCGATGGAAATGAGAATAGTAGGTCAGATTTTTCTGTATGTGTCCCATGACTGAAATATCGATTTGCATCAGTACCTTACAATATCACTACATAGTGATCAAATCAAGTGTTATTAGAACAGTCCTCTGACAGTAAATAGTTGCTGTGTCAGTTTCTTCTTTCTTGTACAGACATCTGAAATATATTTACAGAGCTTACCTTTTTTAAGCCTTTTTATTTTTTTTCAAAATGTATTAAATTAATTTTTACCTCAATTCTACACACAAATCTCCCAAAATGACAAAGTGGGGAAAAAGTTTCATTAAAATTCTTTTAAATGCATTAAAAATAAAAGCAAAACAAAAATAGAACATGTTCATAAGTATTCACATTCTTTGCTTAATTTCTTGAGATCTGAGAATCCTTCAGTGGATTTTGACAAATTCCAGATGGGGCCTAGCTTCCCCCCCCCCCCCCCCCCCCCCCCCCTCTTTGTTATTATGGGCTGTTTTGTATAGAATTGGAGGTGAAAAATGAATTGAATCCATTTGCAGTAGGGCTGAAACTAGATGAATTGTGGAACAAGTGAAACGCTGTGAAAACTTTTCAGATGTCTGTATCTGAAAGATTGCTTTCTTAATCCAAACTGTTGAAGCCTCAACAGGTACATTTATGCAGTTGGAAAAAAAATACTTCATTTTAGTATTGTTTAATAGCAACTGGATTAAAAGTGTTAATACTTACTTTCTCAGGTGAAGGAATTTGACACCATTTCTCGGTTGGACCAGTGGCTCACCACCATGCTTCTCCGTATCAAGAAAACCATACAGGATGAGGAGAGTGACCTTCGCTGACTTGCCTCTCCTGTTATTCTTTAAGTCCTAAAAAAATGACTTGCATCCTTGTTTTTTTGCCTTGAGCCTCTCACTTCCATTTAGCAGCATTGTTAATTGTTTGACCATTAGCCCTTGTATTCACAGATACCATTTCTTTCCTGCAGTATTCTCTCAAATTCAATACAGTACTCCAAAAATGATGGTCCTTTTAGGTATGAACACTACCCTTCTGAGTGCAGGCTTCACACAGTATGTAAATTGTATATTATTATTAATCAGGTATTGGCCCAGAAATAGTTCAGCTGTTCATAATTGGGCTGCAATACCAAAAACTCATACCAGCACAATTGTATAATACAGGTTTTATTTTTATCTTCATTTCAATGAGAACAAATGAGAGGACACAAACTCACTAACACTTCAAGCAACTATATCTATATATATTTCTAAAATGTGCTTTAGAATAAATTAACCAAAATGCCAATATTGATAAAGGCACTCAAATTTGCTTTGGTGATTTTGAATGCGTATGTGTACTATTTTGACAAAGGAGAGCGCCTCTAATTAAACAGTGCTAGATCTCAGCTGCAGAGGCCAAGAGTGTCGATCTGAGGTTTTTCCATTGAATATATACCCCCTCTGCCTTATGACGCAAATTTCTCAGGATTTGGACTTGATTTGATGAAGATTTATAAAACATGCTTTTATAAGCACAAGTAATTAATTTGCTAATTGTTGTCATCACTTCCATTAAAAGTGCTTTTATTCCATAAAAGGTGATAGATGCCCTTCACCTCTGTGAACATTTGCATGGTTTGGAATACATGAGAAATGTAAAACAGCTGTTTTCCACCTGTGTAGGAGTGTAAGAGAGAGAGTGTGTGTGTTTTTTGTTTTGTTTTTCTTTCTTAATCTTTGATTTGTGTTTTCTTGTCTTAAGTAACCAGGCTGAAAAAATAAACAGTTTTTAACGCCTGCAGAGATGCAATACATAATTGGGGGGAGAAAAAGAGCTTTGTACACTGTGCTCATGTACCCTGATGATTTTGTCAGTGAACAATTAGTCTTAAATAATTTGTGATGTTTCCTGTCAAACGTTTAAATAAACTTGTCTCAATAGCGCATCGTGGGCGTGGTTTCCACCTTTGGGAAGGCTGCACCTGTGGCATTTCTCGCTTTCTGTTGAAACGCGAAATAAGGTTTTGCGCTCCGGATTAGTTTTCGATACCCGAGGACACTTGGAAACTATTTTGAATTTTTCTCTTGCTTTACAGTAATCGGGTTATTATTTTTCTTCACTTTAGATGCAACTCATTTGTTATCGGTTTGACTTTTTAAAATGTTTTTTATCTTCCGCTCAGGTGTAAAAAGTCAGTGCAAACCCTATCGAGAAAGTAAGAATAAAAAGAAGTCCACCTGATTTTGATTTGTTTGCGTCCTCCCCCCAACTCCTCGAGACGTTTTTCCGTTGTTTGTTTTTTGGCTTCTAATTAAACACAAGAGAACAAAGGTGTTCCCAGGTGTATCTCAGCACGCTACAGCTGCACGTGAATGGCCGTGCAAGCCCAAATTAATTCTTTCATGTACATTCTTCTTTCAAATACATATTTTGCGACAATAAAAATACTATATATAGTATATTATATACAGTATTTTAATGCATTCAGACATTGTTATATTAAGATCACATATACATGTATTTTAATGTACACATTTATATATATGTTCAGTCTCTTATACAAATATTTTTATTACAATCATGAGCCTAGTGGGCTTATGAAAACTATTTTTCATCATCTCCTGAAACTCTCATATCTTCGTCGCTTGGGGGAGCTAGGACGGCTCATCTGCATCCAGTGTTACTGTAGTGAAGTAGTCTTGATGCATGCTCAATCATCCAGGTAAGTAAATCTCCAAAAGTTGATTCTGTTCATCTGGACATAGCGAAAACGTGACGACGAAACGTTTCTCCCACAAAACGCTACGTCCAGATGAACAGAATCAACTTTTGGAGATGTAGTGAAGTAGATTTAGGTAGGATTTTACGTGATGTCCGTGAATGCAGCACTAACATCCACACCTTCCCAGTTGATAATTGGAGGCCTTATAAGAAACAGCTGTGCTTCATTACCACACGGAGGCATTTGGAATTCTTTTCCCATCCAAGGTGACCAAGAGCGGTTTGATTTCTTCAGGAAAGCTGCTCATTTTAGTATTGCCCTTTAGAGAGTAGTAAGTGGGACTGTTGCGTTTATTATGTGGCATATAGTAGGGTGGACTTTGGCAACTGTTTCCCTCTGTTTTATTACAGGATTGTGCCACACTGCTGCTGCTGCTGTACCCTTGTTGTCATTTTACAAACATGTATGGACTGGCCTTGACTGACTCCTGGTTTTATGGTATTTTACTCTGAATTGTTTGATATATTTTAATCATGCTTTTTGTAAAGAACTGTACCTTAGGGTGTATCTGTTTCATTTATCTCTTTTACTGATTTGTTTTATGTTTTATTGCTTTAGTGGAGGTGCGGCCGCTTGTCATGGGGCTAGGCACGTAAGGTGGAATTCCCCAGGTTCATCCACCCATGGGTATTCTGCTGTTTCAGCTCCTGTGACTGAGAGACTGATTTATCTTCCTTGGGAGAGGAACTGCCCATGGTTCAATGGTAAGACTGGTATAGGTATTGCCGCGTGGGTGGAAGAGGTGCAGGCCTGTTTGAGGGTACGACATCTTTCACTAAGCCCTTTTCATCTATGATCATCTAGAAGGCAAGCCCAGAGAAGAGACTACATATTGGCTTCCAGAGGAGAAAGACGATCACGAAAAGATTTTGACTGTTTTACAGGACCTGTATGGGTGTACTAAGTCGTGCCTTTCTGCAGGTGGAGTTCTTTTCAAGACGACAGCAAATTTTATTGTTCTGTATTTTGGGGATGAAATTCGATCTCGCTTGGAGACGCCAATCACACTGTGGTGACTGGTGATGGCAGGAGTAGACAAAATGTAGTCCACAAAGCTACACTTTGGGCTGAGGGTTGTTGTTGTTACCTGTGTGGGGAGGGACAAAGAAGCACTCACGAAGAAAAGCTGAGCAGGGGGAGAAGAGACAACCGGAAGAGTTTTGTTGGGCTGAGGCAGAATAAGGGTTCTGTTCACCTGACCTGTAAATTGTGGATTTCTTACTAAAAGCAAGGTTTATTTATTTATTTTTTTAATAATAACTTGATGCACTTGATTTCAAATAAAGATTGTTTTAAAAGCTAATGTTGCTCATAAATTCTTGTCCTCTGAACACCAGATCGGTTTTACAAAGGTGGTGGCAGCGTAACCTGTTTAATCCTCAGTCATAGTAGTAGTTTTAGGCTTGAAAAGAATGTGAATGGACTTTTTTTTTTTTTTTTTTTTTTTTTTTTTTAAATAAAGATGTTTTACTGAAGAAGTCCAGTTGCCTTCTTTTCAAGCTCTTAAGAATAAATAAATCCAAGTTTTATTACAATGTTTCTAACACTGTGGAGAAAAGGATGGATGATCTGAGAATCTTCCTTATTTTAAATTGGAAAGAAACCCCTGTCTTCAGTTCCAGTTTCTTCAGTGCATGTCTGAAATAAAAAAAGAAATGTGATCTGCTTTTGTTTTTGTGGATTTGTTTGCTTAGCAACCTTCAGTACAGAGAGCTGAATGCTAAATGCTGTACGTTTTAAATAATATGAGCCTAAGGAGCCTATTGCAGCTGCCGGCAGGGTGCACCCTAGAGAGGTCACCAGGGTAACAAACATGCACTCACATTTACACCTATGGGCAATATAGAATAACAAACTAACCTAACCCCACTAATTGCGTGTCTTTGGACTGTGGGAGGAAGCTGGAGTACCCAGAGCAAACTCGCACAAACACAGGGGAGAACATGCAAACTGCACACAGAAAGGTCCCGACCAGATAGTAGAGTCAAACTCAGGACATTCTTGCTGTGAGGCAACAGTGTTAACCACTGTGCCACCCTGAAATGAAAGATCATTCAATTAAATTTTATTTGCATAGCACCAAACACAACAGCAGTCTCCTCAAGGTGCTATATGAAGTATTATTTGTAAAGTAGAGACCCTAGATTAATACAGAGAAAACCCCAACAATCAAACAACCCCTTTTGACCAAGCACTTCGTTTTTTCTTTGGACTGTTACTAATGCTTAAATGCAAAGTGGTGCATAAATAGAGTGGAAAAGGGTACGTGAACAAGAAACAGTCCATCAAGGGAAACCCCCAGCAGCCTAGACCTATTGCAGCAGAACTAAGGGAGGATTCCGGGTCACTTGATCCAGCCCTAACCCTATGCTTGATCAAAAAGGAAAGTTTCAAGCCTAATCTTAAAAGTAGAGAGGGTGTCTGCCTCCAGAACCCAAACTGGAGCAGGTTCCTCATGAGACGGAGTTAAAGGCCTCTGAATCCCAATGTACTTTTAAATACCCTAGGAACCACAAGTCTAAAGTCAGAGAGCTGTTGTTCCTAGAGTGTTTAAAAGTAGAATGGGAGGGAGAGCCTTCAGTTTTCAGGCCCCTCTTATATGGAACCAGCTTCCAGTTTGGATTCGGGAGACAGACACTATCTCTACTTTTAAGATTAGGCTTAAAACTTTCCTTTTTCCTAAAGCATATAGTTAGGGCTGGACCAGGTGACCCTGAATCTTCCCTTAGTTATGCTGCAATAGATGTAGACTGCTGGGGGATTTCCATGATGTACTGTGTATTTCCTTTTCAGTGGTTCTGGTTCTGCCGGAGATTTCTTCCTGTTTAAAGGTAGTTTTTCCTTCCCACTGTCACCAAAGTGCTTGCTCATAGGGGGTCATATGATTGTTGGTTTTTTTTCTCTGTATGCATTATTGTAGGGTCTACCTTACAATATAAAGCACCTTGAGGTGACTGTTGTTGTGATTTGGCACTATATAAATAAAATTGAATTGAATTGAAATAATAATGAATTAAAACAGTCGAGCCCAGAAAGGACGTTTCTAACTTTAGAGAGATTGTTCAAATGCAATTGGTGTGTAACCTTTTATAATCTTCAGTTACCTTCATACACCAACAAATACCAATCATATTTAGGTTGTATGTTGAGTATGTCTATTTGTCACAGCTGAAGAAGGTTTTGCCCTCCTTCTGTTGAAAGTCTGGTTATTCCACTGGTTCCAAAGTTCTTTCACAGCTATTTGAATCCAGGGCAAAAAGATATAATGATGACAAAATACATGGAGCTCATTAAATGAATCTAATAAGCAATGTCTCTCCATAAAATTGAAAAAGCAATAATAATGAAAAAATAAATTAAACCACTTGATTTAACTATGCCCATATCACCTCAGTTCTTTGATTATCCACTAATCTGCCAGTGATAACACTAGGTATGTTTAATCCTCACCTGTAAAGCATGAAACTGATGAGAACACCATATTTTCAGGATGACATCTCACTGGGTCTTGTCTACATAAGCAAGGTAGTTGATAGTCCTACTGAAAGCAGCCATGGAACACAACCTTCCATCTCACAACTATGTGGATTCCAACTACATGCCTTTAGAAAAAGGAAATAAGTGTAATCTTTGTAGGAAAACTATAACAAAGCCAAGGTTATGCACCATTTAGTGTAAATGAAACAATGAGCTCTTTTGCTTTAGATAATCCATTTTGTTGTAGACTTTAAGTTGGGAATCAGGACTTATACTTTTTAATTTCTTTAAATGTACCTTTAAAGAAATAAAGAATTTAAGTACTTTTTCCAAATAGTTATGATACACTCTCTACGGACTTTGTGCTATTTTATTTATTTTTATCTTGGTGCGCTGTGTGGCAGACAGGATGGAGGACCCAAATGCAGGACTCATAGATGGACAGAAACAGAGGGTTAAAGTACACGGAGGGATAACAAGGGAATGGGACACAGAAGGAGAGCACACCTGAGAGTAATCAAACACAACAAGACCAGGGGAAATCCAACTAGACACACTGACATGGGACACAGACTACAAAGTAAAACAGGAAACATAACACATAGACACGGACTTGACAAGGGGATACAGCTGACAGGGGAGACAGAACTACCGTGGAACACAGAGACAAAAACCAAAATACTAAGAACACTAACACTGAAACCAAAAGACTAGGAATGATAAATACTGACAAACTCAAAGTTCAATAAATAACACAAACTCAAAACACTGGGTCAGTGACCCAGGACCGTGACACCAGAGACATGACACCAGGAACACAGGGGAGGGACAAAAACAGAACAGAAACCAAGAAACTTGAAACTATAAATAACAACAAAGAAATCCCGGACTATTAATAATTCAAGATACAGAACACTGGGTCACCGACCCAGGACCGTGACAATTCTAAGTTGGTCTTTTAAACTTTTCTCATTCTAACTGATTGGGCAATAGGACACTGTATGATCGCTGACGTCTTGCATTATGTCTTCTGAAGCATCATTAATAGGGTCATTTCCTTGCATAATTCCAATTCCTTACATACTATCTTTGGATGCGTAACCAACATGACGACAGGCTTCTATTCATATCCTACAACTTTCTTCAAGTTGTCATCTGATAATGTTGCATAAGTCAGTGGTTCAGTAGCAACGTTTTGTCTGTGCCTGTAGAGTGTAAAGCAGCTAACTCCTAAGTATGTTGCAATTTCTTGCATTCCAATAATTATTACATAAGACATCTGCTGTATCACAGTTGACCTCAATGTCCAGTCATGAGAAGTGGAAGCAGCAAGGTCTAAGATGTGGTTCTTGTCTGGTTCCAAAAGTAGTGAATAAAAAAGTTCAGCCAACCAAGCAGATAACTACAGAGGTGAAGAATCCACAAGGCAACTGTTTTAAATAAGCACCGTTATCTTTTGCTTTTTGGGAAGTTGTATGTAAATGTAAATGTGTAAAGACACTGATGAACACGTCATAGACACCTCAGCTTCACTACTGGAACTTTAACATTATGCACTCCATACTGTACAGTAATGCCACTGTTTTGCACATGTCTCACTCTGTATATTTATTTTATATATTTTATTTATTGTTTACTCTATTTAATTTGTAAAATATGTGTACACACACACACACACACACACACACACACACACACACACACACACACACACACACACACACAAGTAGAAAAATATTTAGTATACACATCCAGAAATGCATATACTATTATATATTGTACATATATTTATTAGTTTCAGATGTAGCCATTCTTGTATTTTGCTTGTTTACATTATTGTATTTTGCACAACTCTGTTGCTTGTGAAGCTCGCACACAAGAATTTCACTCACATGTGCTGTACCAATGTACCTGCACATGTGATGTGACAATAAAAGTGATTTGATTTGATTTGATTGCTGCTCATTTGCATGTGTAAAAATAACCCCTATTACATCTATATAGCAAGTAGCTCATGCATCAGACTGCTCTAAATACTCTGTTTCAGACTTTGGCTCTGTGTGACATCAACGAGAGCAAACATTTTTAATCTGACACGCAGCTGCACCCACCAGCTCTTCCAACTTTCTGTTCAGGCGTGGCAATCCATCAAAAGGAAGTTGGCCTGAAACTGGTCATTGTTGACAATTAAATATGGGGAAGCACCAGTGCCCAGTATAAGGTAACCAAGAAGGAATTTGAACTGTCAATCGTGTAAAGTTACTCTAGTGGAGTCCAAGTCCAGTATAAATAAAGTATGGAACTCCAAATCAGAACTAAAGGTTCTTGATTTTTAGGTTGGAACCCATGCAATGGACAGTACGCTTCTGAATATGGAACTCTTATCTGCTGATAATATGCAGACACTGTAATACAATCCTTTAATTTTAATGATCATCCTGTCTCATGCCATTAAGACATTTGAAAACAAATACAAGAACTTTAAAAAGGATTCCTAAATTGTACAGGATGTACAGTGTACAGTGGAGTGAAATTACAATGGAGGTAATGTGCTCAGACTTTTTATGTGCCAGTAGCATTTTGCACAACCTGCAGATGCCTGATGGACGCATGGCTAACCCCACAGTAAAGCATGTTCCAGCCTAGATGTAACAAAGGCCTCAAGGTCTCAAATAGCTGCCTTGATAAAATAGGCTTTATTTTGGCTTACCGTCTCAAATAAAGAAAGCTAGATCTTACAACAGCTCTAACCTGGTTTTCAAGTTTAAGATCTGCTATCCATTTTAACTCCCAGATTAGCAATGATCAGTTAATGTCCTCCTTGCCATACTCCTTTTGTCCTC